AAGTAGTCATGAAAAATCACGTTCATTGCGTGTTGGAAGGTGCCAAGAGCATTGCAAAGGCCGAAAGGCATCACCACAAACTCGTACAGACCGTACCTGGTCTGAAAAGCGGTTTTGTGTTGATCCTCGGGCCGTATTACGATCTGATGGTACCCGGACTTCAGATCTATCTTAGTGAAGTACCGACACCCTTGCACTCGGTCCAACAAGTCATCAATGCGCGGTAGGGGCTCTGCGTTTTTCACAGTGATAGCATTGATGCCCCTATAATCAATGCACATCCTCAAGGTTCCCCCCTTCTTCGGTACAAATAAGACTGGAGATCCGTAAGGGGAGACACTAGGTTGGATCCAATGCTTCTCTATGAGTTCCTTGAGTTGTCGGCGAAGCTCATCGAGCTCTGCTGGAGACATCCAATAGATCCTACCCTTCGGAATACTAGACCCTAGGATAATCTCTATCGCGTGGACGACCTCCCTCTCAACAACCCCTTTTGGTTCTTCAAATAGGTCAGGGTATTTAGTGACTACTTCCTCTATCTCCAGCGGCATTTTCACCGGCTCGCCTGCTGCAGAGACATAAACTAAGTACATACCCTCCTCCGGATTTTGCTTATAATAATTATAGAACGCGGCCGCACACATGCGTCCGTAGGACTCGATCAGACTACTAGCCTTAAACTTAACCTGCCGGTCCAACCGAAAGATAGTACATACCCAACAGGATGTCCATTGGGAGATCATCGTTGACTAGGAACGAGACTCGATGTCTCAGTTCCCCTCTCGCGTACAGGAATAGACACTCTATGTCTTTAAGGTAGTCGTTGACTACCATGCGCTGTTTGTTGGCACATGTCGACTCCACAGGTCGACTTAGGCGTTGCACTTGCCCCTGTAAGCGCCGCCTCTCAACGCACGCGCAACTAATAAAGTTTCGCGTCGAGCAAGTCGCCTTGCGGCCGCCAACGACTCTCTCTCCGACGAACAACGCACCCTTAGGGGCTTTGGCCATGGCCGTCCAAGAAGCTAGCGGGTCCGATCTAGACCACTCCTCCTCTAGCTCCTCTAAGGACTCAAACACATTCAGCAACGCTTTGCGAGCACGGCGTGGCCAGTGCTGGTGGACGCATATGATGGGTCTGAATGTGTTTGCGGGACGACTACCGAGTCAGTAGCTTGGGCCATCTCTCAAGATGGTGAGGGTGTGTCCACCACCTCGACCCTAGCAGGAACAACTACCATTCCTACTGGTCCAACGTGTTTCCCGAGGCGGTGCCAGAACTACTGGCATCATTGCTACCCTCAGAAGTGGAGAATCCCGTCGCTGCGCCATTGTAGGCGGGATCTTTTCGGTCACCTTCTTATTCCGGCACTTGAACTGGTTATGGCCATATTGGTCACAACGGATACAAGCTTGTCGGGTGTAACGGTCTCTCTACACGTCCTCTGTGAGACCCGCTTTCTCCCATGGAGGAGTGTTAGGGTCAACTTGACTCCTAGACCGGAAGCCTCCTCGGCGTCCACCGGTCGCCTTACCTTTTTGGACTGAGGCAGCGACTGCTCCACCCCCTGAAGCCCCTGTGCTGCCCGCCTCTGAACCTACTCCCTCCTGGAAATCGTCATCTAGTTCGACGGTGGAACCATCGTTATCGATGAACATAATGCGACCCTTCGCCTTCCAGTTGGGAGGCAGCGCTTTCTTCCTTTCATCCGTCGTGGGTTGATGTCCATGCCCTATCTTTGCCTCCAGGTCTAGGTCTAGGACACCTCAGGTAAATGGTCAGAAAGACTTTGGGGTCCTAACAAACTCCAGGTACACAAATCAGACGCTCTATTGCGTCTATGGCATCCCTTACTGACTTGAACGATCCAGCGCTCAAAGTCAGGATCGCATCAGTGGCCTTTTGGGCCTCAAGAGGATCATGCCACCTTTCCTCCACCAGCTTATGGAAGTCCTCCAGTTTCTGGTTGACTGCCCAAGCGTGGAAGTCATGACCGTATCCCTGTAATTGTACTAACCCGCTTGACCATCTCGTTGCACTCCCTTTAAGTAGGAAGCAGACACAAGAACTTCCTCGTGCGGCAAGGTTAACTTGCACTTTACGTAGACTGGCACCGACCTCAACCACGTGTCAAGCTCTTTGCCCCTCTTATCCCCTGAGAAGGGTTTAGGGGAGGCGATGACAGTCTTTGGAACCTGCTGGCCTTGTCCCGGTACCTATGCCACTCCAGGCTGTGGACCCTGGGGCGCAGGCTGTTGCACTAGCTGCTGTTGGGGTTGTGTGCCCTGCGGCTGTGCTGGCTGCGAGACAGCAGGCTGCCCTCTAACGGCAATCTGTAACGAAGGTTGGGAGTCCGTACAGGAATTTGTACACTAGGACCTGTTGAGAACCCTCCTGTCAAAGGCATACTTAACAGGGAAAAGGCCTGTACCCATGCCGGAGAGACTATGTATGGGGATACTAGGCATACTTAACAGGGAAAAGGCCTGTACCCATGCCGGAGAGACTATGTATGGGGATACTCAAGTCACCGGTGGGACAAAAGGAGGAGGTTGTACCACAGGCCAGGCACCAGGCCCTGATGGTGATGGTGCTGCCTGAGCTCTCCCAGCCAGCACGGCCAGGCTCTGCTGGATGTCCTGTACGAGCGTCGTGTGATAGTCCTGCATTTCTACCACATCTAGCAGGGCTGCCCTCACGGTCCTCACATCATCATCCACATTAGTCAGGTCCACCTCCTCTAACTCCCTGATGTCAGCTTGTCTCCGTTGCATCCTTGACTTTCGTCTGAGCATTCTCTCCTTCTCTGCCTTTAACTCTCCTAACGCCTTCTGTAGCTGTGCCTCCTGAGCATCTGCTCGCTGTATGGTGACCTCCTCGGGAGTCAACAGTAACTGCTGGCTTGCCATGACGCTAGCGGACTGACTAAGGGTCTATGCAATCGTCGCCCCTACAGTACCTGGACTACTGGCCTAGGAGCTTTGCGGCGCAGCTGTGACCATGACTGCTGAAGTGGCAGCTTCGCTTGCGAACGCCCTACTTGCCTCTGCGGCCCTAGCTCTTCGCCGCTGCTGCTGTCTCTCCCTTTGCTAGCGGAACAGGAATCTGTCACCCTCGGGTCCTAATGCCACGTGGGCTATAGGGCGCCTTGCCGATTGCAGGATCCTATCGTCCTCGTGGGTGTTATCCCTATCACTCATAAGCTACAGAACTGCACACGATCTGGACTAGGTCACACTCGATGCTTACCGCCGCGTAGAGCACAGACCAATTTATAATAAATAAATAATTAATCGGTGGCTGTGTCAGAGGATACCCAGTTGGGTCTAACAGGTAAGTTCAGATTCCTACAAACGAAACTATTTTTAATTAATCAGTCCACGAACAGAAAACAGATCTCTACCTATTGTTGTCTGTCAGATGTCAATGGCTGTACATCTTAACTAATGAAAATAAAAATAGAACCGTTGGCATGGCTGTTTGCAGAGTGGAATCTTTCCCGAACTGATCACCTGGAACCTACCCCTCCCTCAATTCTTCTTGATTGTCTCTTGATGTCAGCATTCCTGGGCAATCCGGATAGTGTGTGTGTCTAAAGGTGTGCACATCATCAACAAAGAACCAATGTCGACTTCCTATGTGGCGCTCTGCGCCCAGACTACAAATGACAGATCCTATCCAATGTCGTTCGCCTCAAGCACCAGGTATGTCTCTCGTATCACTCACAACCTCGATCCCCCACTCACAGATGCCACGTGCACCCAAGGACCACCATGCACCCCATCCAGCATAATAGTGCAGCGCAGCTCGGCTATGGCTGCCTGCTCATCCAGCTCGCCCGTGAGCATGCAGCCAGTGCCCGAATGCCAAATGCGTGGGCAGGCACTTTCCTAAATGGAAGTGGGCTGCCTGCTGCGTGCGGCCTGGCTGTTCTGGGCCCCTAACCAGAAGCTTCCGGTAGGCTCCTGAGCCCCAGTCCGAACGAATCAGGCCCAGGGCCTGCGGTGGTTGCCCGTGTCCAACTGCCCACAGCCTGTGTTCGGTCCATGTTGCGTACCTGGCCCAGGGCCTGCCTTAGTTACATACGGAAAAGGCTGCCAGGGCCTGGACGCTCTCAACCAACTGACGCTGCGCAACTGCCTGAATTTTCCCCAGTTGCGTGGTAGTCAAAACTAGGCCTCTGGGCCTTGGTCGGGGTGGCCGACATTGTTGCAAACAGGGCCCAGTAGGGCTTACCGAGGCCTTATGCCTCGCAGTAGTGGAGCCAGGCCCTTGGAATCGTCCCCCCCCCCCCTTTTTTTTTTTTGCCAATCAACCATTTCAAGTGGGCCTTTTCGCAAGACCACTCGAGGTCTCTCGAGGAAACGCTCGTGACAGGCGGGAGAATCTCATCTCTTCGAAATGACTTTCGACGCTGGCCAACCTGACACCTTTCGAAACTTTTTCGAAAGAACTTGTTTCGAAAGGCTCTGTGGCGAAGACACGGCGTCGATTTCGCCCGTTTCGCAAGCCTGTGTGGCTAGCACCTCATTCTGTTTTTGTTTTTAGGAATAGTTGAATAACAGTTTGCATTGCAAGGAAAATGAACGAGAGCGAAGGCAGAAAACCAAACTGCAATATCACGCTGTAGACCAGATAGTCATGTACCAAGCAGAACGCATAATGGACCGAGATACCAGCCAAATAAGAGCAATACAATGAACTCAGATGTTAATGTCCACGCCAACATAGTATCCATGAGGAAACTGTCTGGTGCACCCGCCCCTACTGCAGAAATGCCAAAAATGAGGCCCCAGGGACATTTACAGGGCCGCCTTCACTAAGGGCGGGCGCTGGCCTTGCAGGGGGCCCCTCATGCAGTGGGAGGCTGAGGCCAAAAAGGCCACAGCGGGGTCTTGTTCCTTGTAGCATTGTTGTCGCAATATTAAAATTGCCAAAAAAAAAGTTCGAAAAATAAAAATGAAAAAGAAAAAAAGTTAAAAAAACAAAAACACGTTACCTCATCGAGTGCCTCTAAATAACGAGGGCTGAGCACATCATGATGGCTCGGACGCGTGTCCCTCTCCACAGCCTTCCGCATCCCCTTGAACTGCTTTCTTATGAGCCCTTCCTTGTCTCTGTTCCTTGCTTCAGCTGCCTGCCAAAATGAGTGTGCACCACATTCAGGGCGTACTCAGACCATGGACTTACATTTCGACCACGTACATCCACAAGGGGCCGTTCTTGCAGTTGGATACCTCCACAAACATCCCCTTAAACTGCTTTCTTAGGAGCCCTTGCTCTCTGTTCCTTGCTTCAGCCACCTGCCAAAATGAGTGTATACCACATTCAGGGTGTATTCACACCATGGACTTACATTTCGACCACATACATCCACAAGGGCCGTCCTTGCAGTCAGATACTCACAGAAGTCCTGCAGTCTTCCCCCTAAGAGAATGTACAGTCATTATCGCTGTATCTAGACTGAAAGTTGCCCAAATACAGCTATAGTGACCATATGTTCTATTCAAGGGAACACCGTACCATCAGCACAGAGCACACTCTCAGACACGAATAGACAAAGCGAACATGTATAGTATAGACCACATTCAGGACAGACTGACGCTAGGACTTTTCCTACTGATTTCTGGACGTGATGCACTTAGGTACATTCAGATCTGGACATAGATCTGGACATAGTTGTAGTCGGATACATTTAGAGAAGTGCTTGTGCGAGGATATGGGCCCTCGGCAGGCCTAAGGGCCCCCCTGCAGCATATGTGCCCGCCCTAAGTGAAGGCGGGCCTAACAAATCACGAGAGGCAGTTTCGCATTTGGGGTCCAGGCAGTTTCGTTGCGCCAGTTGGTTGAAGGGAAACACAGGCCGAGCAGCGTGGAAATTCCCAGGCCTTCTAGGCCTTTCCGAAAGCACAGGCCCTGAGCGAGATTTGCAGCCTCATACACAGACAGTTGGGAGGCCAAACCGAATGAGGCCCAGTAGCTGCACTAGAGGCACAGCATCCTGGGGCCTACCGGAAGCTTCTGGGCCCAGGCCAGTCCAGCCAGGCTGCCGAATGAGGCAGCCTCTTTCCATATAGGAAAGAGCTCGCTGCCTGGCCAGCCATTCGGGCACTCGCATGCTGGCGGCAGCACTGCTGGAGCTGAAGCTCGTGGGCTGCTGCTAGCGCTGAGCGGCGAGGTGCAGGCACGTGCGGTCGTGCAGGGAGCAGGGCGCTGCTGAGGGCAGCGCCATAGCCCAGCCTCCATAGCTGGCAGGGCTTGGATGTACAGTGAGGCACAGGCGTGGTCTTCGGGCGTACAACAGAGGGAGACGTGGGAGAGAGTCAAGGGAGAGAGAGAAGGATGATGATGATGATGATGTGAGGGCACATACCTGGTATTCGCAACGGTTCTTCATGGGCGACATCTTCAAGTACTTCTGGTGCTGCTGACGTCAACAGTTGGATTGTCAATTAGTAGGCTAGTGGTAGCTGTGTAGGGGGTAGGCTGGGCGCCGAGCGCCAAGTAGGGAGATAGAGACTGGATACATATGTTGGTGGTAGCGAGAGCAAGCTCTCATTGACATTGACTTTCAGTGCTACGATTCTCCATTGGTGTTGTATTGGTGCAATGCTGCTTCCTGAACACTGTGTTACGATTTGGCTTTCAATGTGATTGTGCAATCTGAATATTATCATCTCGCTTCTGTTCAATTTCCTTGCACTTGTGCGAGTGTAATGCCCTCACACAGAAAACCAAAAGCGAAAGGGTGAATATATAATCCAAAAACAAAAAAACAAGAAAAAATCGCAAAAAAAGATGGAATGGGATCTGGAAAAAAGAAAAGAAAGAAAAAGAAAAAACAGAAAGGGATCCAACAGAAAAACGGATGTGATCCCCCACACAACAAAAGACACAGGAACTGGATCCAGAAGAATGAGGGCATTGCAATGACTTGCCGCTTCCAGGTTGCCTGTAGCCTCACTCTGACGAGGCTGTACCATGGATAGGGATATATTCGTAATTTTGTTTGGCCGAAGACTAACCGAGAGACCTGCCTGTATGGAAAATTCGTGAGGGACATATCTGTAAATATAGAAATATGGGCCCAGTACTAACTAGATTTTCCTACAGCTACCCTAATTGCGAATAGCAGACCCGGGCTACCCCTAGGACAGACAGACTCCATGGGCCTACGCTGATAGACGGTCCTATAGCCTATAGCCCGGTAGGGAGAGGCCCTAGAGGCCGAAACAGAAACGGTACCGGTCGGTCGGTCAGTCCGGTCTAGGTCGGTCTAGGCTAGTAGTAGAGTATAGATAGGATGGGGCGCTGACCAGACTGGGGTCAACGCTGTCCGCTCTGACTCTCTGGCAGTCAAAGCGGTCTGGGCTATCAAAGGTCTGATGCGTTGGAGCACGTGGTGCACTGATGACCCTCCTCAGGAGTAGGGTCCCAGTGGCGATGCAGCCATAGCTGCATCTTCTCAGAGATACCATCGTCAGGACTTCATCTTCATCAGGGACTGTTGGCGCTGAGCTTCTTCTTCATCATCTGGGTGCCGATTGGCTCTGGGAGCCTGTCTCAGAGATACCATCGTCAGGGTGGCGCTGGGTGTTACCTGGGGTTTCGGTGCTATTTTCAGCTGTTCTGGGTGGTGGGGTCGAGGCGCTACCCCTCTGAGGGTAGCGCAACAGTGTTCTGAGGCTATTTCAGTTGAACGATGCTCTGAGTTTAATAAACAGTGTCAATACTGGGTTTGAGTTGTCATCTCTTCATTGATTTCTGGCTGTGATCACTCGGTTGTCTTCCATGAATGATTGTTGGGATTACTGTGGAGACAATTCACTGCACCTGTGTATTCTGTCACTTCGCTTCTTTGAGTCTTCCGATGCGTTTCTTTTCTGAGCGGTGTGACCTTCCACTACCTCTCCCCTTCCTTCTGTGCATGTATGGGCGTGTACGGGAGTTCCAGTGAGTGAGTGTTGATAAAATTTCAACAGACAATCATGTTCATAACAGCATGCTCTCCCACTAGGACATTATAGAATCTGCTCTGGACTTTATTACAGTCAGATGCATTTGTGGGGATTGAGCCCTCAACGGGGCCTTGCCGACATGCATATGTTCTGGGCATAGGCCCCCAGCAAGCCTCGTGCCCGCCCTAAGCGAACGCAGGCCAGAATATCCACGAGAGGCCTTCATTCAGCATTTCACAAAGTGGGTATCAGACAGTTGCCGCACGCCAGTTGGTTGGAGTGCATCGGGAGCCTCAGACTCCTGCAGAGACAGTTGAGCCCAGGGCCTCGGTTGGTTGAGCCCTGGGCGACAGTCTGGGAGGCCAACACATCACACATTGGTTCCTGGCCTATGGAAAGCAGTATTCTGTCGTGGAGGCCGAGGAAACCAATGGGAAACCGGTACGGGGTCTGAATCTGGACAACGGCCCTAGCATAAGGGGCGCAACTGTATTACCTGGGCCCCATCTGCATTGGGCCTGGGCACAGATACTGGGACCCAGGCGCAGGCTCGAGGTAGACCGCCCACACGCCACACTTGGCATATAGGCAGAGGGGGCGAGCGGGCAAGGAGTTTTTGGCCATTGCGAGCAAGGCCGGCACGCTGCTGCATTGCGAGGTGCTGCGCTACAGTAGGCTGAGAGAAGGCAGGTTGGCGCTAAGCGGTAGGTCGCAGCCTGGGCGCAGGGCACTGGCAGCCATAGCCGGGCTGCATGAGAGCGCTGAGGGAAGTGAGGGCGAAGGTGGTTCTTCGGAAGGTGAAGGGCGCTGTGTGGGATAACAAGGGAGAGTGAGGAGAGAGAGAGAGACATACCTGGTGGAGAGG